AATTACCGGCGAAATTGAAGTACAGTGTAATAGCTACTCTGGAACATCAGGACTATGGTTTGTCTGCTATCATTGCTACAGTCTCTTCATCTTATCATTTCACTGTATGTTAATTGCGAAGGGGGCGATGATGGCGCTGTATTGATAAATCCAATTTGAAATTTACAAGTGCTTATTCATGAACTTCATAAACGTTTCGTAACTGCTGATTCAAATGAGTAAAAAATTTGTCACACCTTGCTTCAGTGTAGCCAGCAGAAAAACGGACCATGGTACATGGTTGACTTGCGAGCAGAATGAAGAGCATGATGTTCTTGTGTAGGAATTTCGAAAATGCTTGGCCAGGCAGTCAGATGTGCGCGCCTTACGGGTGCAATTCGCCTTGACCACGTCATCGAACCATTGCTCTATGTGCCACTTTACTTGAAGAAATCACCGACCTCAAATAACCTAATCCTCCATCCTTCCAACCCAACAACCTGAAGTTACGATAAGGTTCAGAGAGTAGTAACAAGGAGGAGTTTCCTTCAGGTCGTGAAGCTGCTCTTTAAAATACAGGAGATTAGCTGAAGACGAAGTTCCAAATTCTGCTAGTTGTCATTCGCTCTATCCTCCGTTATGAATGTGAGATGTACATCGTCAGAACTGAACAAATCAGGAAACCAAAATCCTTCAGTAATTAGTATTTTCGATTCATTGGTCATATATCCAGCGCCACAATCCGGGTCAGCGGCAACATCTTCCATTTCTCCGCTCTCCTGAACGAATGACGAGTGCTTTAACTGGGGCACGTTTTAAGTTCCTCATCAGATGTTATCGCCTCTGTTACAGTGAATGCTAACTCGACCGTTAGGTGACAACGCAAAAGAGCCAGACTATTTTAAACCTGATGAAGCACTGTCAAACATGACGTCCAAATTCTCCTTGGGTATGCAATGTACGGGTGTAACTGTGGGAGGTTGGTTGAACTCGGTGGCGGTGACTCATCTTGATCGATGGAGGTGGTAAGCAGCGATCCGGGTCATCGCTGGATCTGGCTAAGCTAACCATATCAAGAGCAAACTAAATAACACATAGTATAGTGGTCGTTTCTGTTTTGTTTCTCTTTGGTAAAATCTTCTGCAGGTTCTGCCATGAACCAAATCTCGTTTAACAGTTTGTTGGGGCTTTCTAAAATCAGAATCTAACGTCGCATAGTAGAATTATGATTTATGTA